TGTGCCCATCGTTGTAGCTGGTGCAGCTGTTGAAATGGAACGTGCGCGGCGCTGGGGCGAGAGCCCCATTTTGGAAACGACCCCCCTCCATCGATGGAGATGTTGCGAACTTGTAAAAATGGAATGCGCGCGGCGCTCAAGCGAGAGCCTAGCTTTGAAACACATCCTCTCCATTCGTGTAATTGCTGCAAGCTTTAAGACGAATGTGAGCGGTGCGAAAGTGAGAACCCCATTTTGCCCTTCCCCCTCCATCCGTGTAGCCGGTGCGAACTGTATTCCAGATGCTTTGAAAACATATCAAGCGAAACTCTTGGTCTGCCATACCGACACGTCTGGGGGTGCGCCATGGAAGATTATATCTCAAAGGACAAAGACATGGAGGAAGAGGGCGGGAGGGAGGGAGGGAGGGAGGGAGGAGGAGGAGGAGAAGGAAGGGAGGGTCTGCTTTCGAGCGGATCCCTGTCGGGGGCAGGGCGAAGGGGGCGGCTTCTCGGAAGGATCGGACGCCTTCCCCGCGGCCTCCTTCGACGAGGGCTCTCGGAGGCAGGCTGGCCTCTACGGGGCGTGTGCCTCCTTCGAGGGCCGCCCCGCGCCCCTTGCTCGCCTTGCCCGCGTCCCAGACCTCCGGCTTGCTGTTCCGAGCCTCCGGCCCCCCGGACCTCCCGACCCCTTCCGAGGGGCCCGGTTTTGCGGGTCGGCAAAGTGACCCCAACCACTGCTTCTTGTTTGCGCCGCCTTCCAGCCGGCCGTAAAAGAAGCAGTGGTTGTGGTCATCTGCCTGGTGCCAAATTTCACGAACATGACCACAGCCACTGCTTTGTTTCTGCTGGCTGGAAGGCGGCAACAGAAGAAAAGCAGTGGCTGTGGTCATTTTCCCGTCCCGTAGTTTTTCAGCACGTCGCCCGCGGAACGAGAGCTGCCTCAGCTCTCGCGGTCGAGGGGCTCTGTAGCAGCGCTCGGGATGCTGCGTGGCGCCCCCGCCCTCCTTCCCGAGCTCTATTGCTCAAGGACAAGCAGCCCAGAAACGGTCCCTGGGCGCCGACAGTGGCGAACTTTGGTGGCGTCCACAAGGAGGTGGCACGATAGGGGGTGGAGGTGGCGCGATGGGGGGCGGGCTCCTAAGAAGGCGGCGGGGCTTCTAAGAAAGCAGGGTGGCTTCTTCTAAGCCCGCCCGGCTCCCAGGAAGCCTTCGCAGAAGCCTCCGGGGCTTCCCAAGAAGGCAGAACCTTCCAAGAACCCCCTGCGCATGCTTAGAGGGATGCCCCCCTCGTACCACCCCCCTGTGCTGAGGCCTCCTGAAGGGGGTCCCGGCAGATGGGGTTGGAGGATCGCGCCGCATCCCCGATACATTGGCGATGCGTTGGCGACCTCGGCGATGCATCGGCGACGCCAGGGTGGACAAAGCCAGTCTCCACATTGAGCCGCATCGCTGGTGCTTCTGGCGATGCGGCGCGATCCTCCGACCCCATCTGCTCTGACCCCGTCTGGGAGGCCTGAACAGAACCCCCTCTGGCTCGGACAAACTTTAGGTCATGTCCTCCTACAGGCGGATTCTGAAAGAAGAACAAGACAAGAGCCACACAATACTCAACAGTAGTCTAAACAATAACAGAATAATCGTCCCCAGACTACTTTTGTGACTATTTTTGTATATCCCTCCTGTAGAATTATGTTGCTCCCATCGTACTTCAGGACCACATCCCAGAAATAATTTCGAGCACCCGGAAAAGTGTCGAGAGAGTGTCGAAAGAGTGTCGAAACAGTGTCTCCCAGGGCCCGGCACGTGAAAACCCGCGAGTTTCGGCACTTTCTTCAGGTGCCCGAAATCCTTTCTGGTGATCAAGGCTACGAGTAGGTTGGAACATCATAACTGTAGAGAGAGAGAGAGAGAGAGAGAGAGAGAGACCTGCCCCACTCAAGAGCCACACGAGACTCAAGCATAGTCAGACATAGCAGAAGAATCGCCCCCAAGACTATTTCTGTCACTACTTTTAAGTCGGGCCTGTCCCCCTACAGTGGGATTTTCGACGAAAAATAAAACATGCCCCTCAAATCGCCAAAACATAATCCAAAAATAGTCTGGGGACTATTTTTTGAGTATTCTTGGACCTCTTTGGGGTATTTTTGGGGTATTTTTTAATTTTTCGTCGAAAATCCTTCTGCAGGGGGACACGCCCGACATAACACTACTAGAGAGACCTGCCCCATTCAGAGCACAAACTGCAGGCCCTCGGAGGTCTGGGCCCGGCGCGGCGCCGCCGAGAGGCGGGGGGGGGGGGGGGAAAGCGGACGCCGTGCGCGCGCGGCCGATGAGAGGCGCCGCCGGCCCTTTTCGAGACCGCCGCGCGCAGGGCGGCGTGACCGATGCCTCGCGCGGGGAGCCTCGCAGAGAGATGCACTCGTGATGCCGAGAGGCGATGGGCCTGTTTTCCACCACCACCACCACAAGTTGGAGGGGGAGGGGGTCCTCCTCCTCCTCCTCCTCCTCCTCCTCCTCTTC